AGTATTTTAGAAATGGAGAAGGCATTGGATGTTTATGGGCATTAGTAATTAAAAGAACTGTTTGACATTTTGGGACGTTCATGTATTGACTTTTTTGAATAGAATGACACAAGCATCTCCCCTGACTTTTGGACTTTCCCTGATCCTTATTGTTGAGATTTCAGTCTGAAAAACACCTACTGAGAATCCATTCAGTCCAAGTAATTCAGACCAATCTGCAATTGTTTGGATGATGACTTGCTGTTCTACAAATTCCAAAACATTGTTAACAACTGAATGGTTTAGGAGAAATTTGTCTTTCCAGAACAAGCTTTTTTTCCAGGAAATAAACCTACAAATAAAAACAACACATGAGCACACAGAGAGCACATGTACCTCTACCAAGGCACAAAATTTGCTCATGCAAATAGGTCCCTTGTAAAAAAAAAAAAGAGACCCAGAATAACAGAAAATGTGCCCTAAAATCTTTGATCAGGATTGGATCCGGATAGTCTCTTAAGGTATGGTAGGCAGTTATACTATGCATCTTATCTGAACATTTCAGGATTGTATCTTCATTATGGCAGAGAATGTGTTTTAAGTGGTTTTTTCTATGTTAACTTTAAGTGGCCATATCTCAAATTTCAAACAAAAAGGATTTTGATAACTTTTGACAGAAATGTTTTTTTTTTTTTATTTTGCCCTATGTTAAAGATATGATTTTTTTCTTTTTTGGGGTATTTTTTGTGACCTTTACCTTTGACCTTTTTCAGCCAAAATCTAATCATGTCTAGGGTTGATCCCCACCAATGTCTCTACCAAGTATGCTGCTGATCCATCCAGCTGTTTGTCTGTAATCCTGCCAACCAACAAACACACACAGAACCAAAAACATAACCTCCTTGGTGGAGGTAATAAAGTACAACATAAATGACATGATAGTTGAGTAAACAAAAACAAGGTACCCAACATATATTGTGTGAAAGTTCACTAGACAGCAACACACAAAAAATGTGCTACTTGGCTGAGGACATCACTGACAGTTCTCCTCTTCACTGAACAATTCGTGATTAGATACATTTTAAAACTATCGGAGCCATTTTACATTTCCTTAAGGACCATAACTAGATTTTGAATAAAATAAGGACTAAGCAAAGCAGTTAGTAAAGCACATTGCCAGTGCTTACAGTTGAAATAGCTAGCCCCTGTAACTGTCTGACTGGTACATTGTGAAATAGGATTGGCAACAAAAACTCAGCTCTAGATTAGAACCAAGTCCAAAATGCCAATTACCAGGTACCTGTAAAGAAAAAAGGAGTATCGGTTCTGTTAATCAGTTCCTAAACATGAACCCTTGCAAACAAAGCAAAGAGTATTATCTGCAATGATGAACGTAGTGGGCGGCACAATGGATTAGTGGTTTATGCTGTTGCCTCACAGCAAGTGGGTTCTAGACACAAGCCTGGGCTGACCCAGGGCCTTTCTGTGCCCGCGTGGGTTTCTCCCACAGTCCAAAGACATGCTGCTTAGGTTGACTAAATTGCCCGTAGGAGTGAGTGTGTGTGGTTGTTTGTCTACATGCCAGCCCTGTAATAGACTGGCAGCAAATTTACATACAAATTCTAGATTTATCAATATTTTATTTAAACTTGTTCATACTCTACAGCTTTAGAACTGCCTCAGATCACGCATGTGTTCAAATTATTAAAGCTCTACTGTCTCAGAAAATGTAAATATACACCTTTTAACTTAATGCACGGCATATTAAAACATTATTCATTAAAAAAAACTTTAATAATGAATATACACCAATCAGCCATAACATTATGACCACTGATAAGTGACGTGAATAGCATTGATTATCTAATTACAATGGCATCTTTCAGTGTGTGGGGTATATTAGGCAGCAAGTGAAAATTCAGTCAAAGTTGATCAGTAATAACAGAACAATCAAATGAGGGCTATTAAATATCAGATCTTTCTTGTCTAAATTTCTAACAAAATTGAAATTGATATTTTTATTAGTTTTATTATATTAGTTGATATTTGGGCCTAGAAGCCTCAGAAATATGCCATCTAACCATATAGTCACTCTAGATAACATAGCCCTGGCCTCCAGTACTACTGTTAGGAACACTGTAGTCATTTTTGACCAGGATATGTCCTTTAAAGACTTCTGTCTGTGTGCTGTGTATGTTTATGTATGTGTACATGTATATTGTGAATACTATGATGATGATGATGATGATGATGATGATGATGATGATGATGACACTTTATTACAGACTCAAGGTCCAAGTTCAAAAACAAATAAATAAATAAAGCAATAAAAGAATAGTTTAAAAACGAAACAATAAAAACAGAAAATACATAAAAAACGAGAGCACAAGAACCCCCATAAAACTACTGCCCCTTTAAAAGACAGGTATACCAGTGTTTCCAGAGAACCGAAGTAAAACGCATGTCACTGTGTGCAACATTAGTCAACGATAAAATGATATGATTTTTTGAACAATTCAGGCGACAGATAAATTTAAACATCAGGTTTCTTAAAACAGCGGAAAATGTACTAACTCGAGACGACACGAACAATTCACTTGCACTCGTCCATCTAGGCTTTTTCAATAATATCCTTAGGGCGTCATTGTAAGCTACTGACAGTTTCTGAAGACTGCCCTTTTTATTATTACACCACAGATGAGCAGTGTACAAGGAAGTACAATACGCTTTAAACAAAGCCAGTTTTACTCCCACCGAGCATGCACCAAATCTCCGTGCGAGTACATTAACTTGTACATATAACATGCGGCACTGCTGATATATATCCCCGTCATCAGACAAACAATCATTAATGACATGACCCAAATACTTAACTTCACTGCACACAGTTAAAATATTATCAGATAACTTAAAAGAAGGAAATACAAGGGACCTGTCCTCGTTTGTACGGCATATCATAATGACACTTTTGACAGCATTATACTTGACATTTAGACAGATCATTCATGTAAAAATTAAACAAAATTGGGGACAGCAGACTACCTTGTCTTACGCCATTACCGGTCTGAAAAGGCGCAGATATACAGTTATCCCATCTAACAGACATAGTCTGGTGGGCATACCAGTATGACAAACATCTCACTATATATTTAGGTACTTGGGCGTCACACAGTTTCTGGAATAATTTCCTGTGATTCACTCGGTCAAAAGCTTTGGAGGCATCTAAGAAGCACATGAATACAGAGGAGTTTTTGCTTTTATATTTACTGACCAATTCTTTTAGGGCAAATATACACATGTCAGTGCCATGGCTAGTTTTAAACCCAAATTGGTTTGCAGTAGAGCTAATAAGATTGTGAAACCTATTCAAAAGAAGTTCTTCAGCAACTTTTGAAAGAATATTAGCAAGTGCAATAGGTCTATAATTAACTATGTAATATTGTATAGTATTATAATCCTAGTAGGACAGTGATGGAGGGTAGAACGTTACTTAGCATGTTATGTTATATTATTTGATATTTGTGTCTTGTTGCTTTTCTTTTCTCGCTCCTCTATCCACTCACACCAACCGGTCAAGGCAGAAGGCTGCCCACCAAGAGCCAGGGTCTGCCGGAGGTTTCTGCCATTAAAGGGAGTTTTTCCTCCCCGCTGTTGCCAAGAGCTTGCTCAAGGGGGATTTGTTGGGTTTTCCATATGATAGTGTAAGGTCTAGTCCTGATTATGGAAGGTGTCCTGAGACAGCTGTTGTGAATTGGCACTATACAAATACATAGAATTGAATAGATAGCACTATTGCTGTCATGTCTCACAATCTTCTGTTTGTGTTTTATTTTGTTACCTTTAAATTTCTTGTTTTCACCTATGCCTTAGCCTGTCTTATTACATTTAAACTGAGCTCTACCTGCCTGTGCTACTGTTCTCAACAATTCTGTACTCCACCTATCTGTTTCAGATCCCTCATCATCCCTAGCATTTATTACCCCCCGCACCTTGGATATCCAGTCCTTCGTCATGCTCAGGAGTGTTTCCCTTTATGGTGATTATTTTGCTATGTTGCTTGTACTTTTTTGAGTCTAGTGTTCATGCTTTTCTCGGTCATGGAGTAGAAGTTATCTGGACAATTTACTGGCCTCCAGTACCTCAAGTAGAGGATTCTGAATAGCTTGTCTGTATCCTCTTGTTAAGAATACAGACGTTTGTGTTTGGAAGCCAAGACTGTGTGGAAGCTATGTGGAGGCTTATATTGCTGACTGCTGGGTTATTCTCTGCTCACCTGGCATTAAAGACTGCCTCATCTAAGTTCTGTCTCAGCGTCTGCATTTGGGTCCTGTGTCCTAAACTGGTGACAGTTGCAGTTCCCATTCCCATTCATATGAATTGCCTTTTTCCAAATATTGCTTCAGAGGGTGCAGTAAGTGTTTCCTAACATAACCTTTGTACAGATAGAATTTGTTGTTGTAAGTAATCAGCAAATGTTGTGACACCTGTGTAGGAATTGTTTGAATAAAATTTCAAGGCTTCATTTACTTCCACTGCTGCAGAAAAGATGTAAGTTGATACCTAACACAGGCCCGTGTTATAAGGTTACTGATTGGCTTTAATCCCAAAATAAAAGCTGTAAATTTTTAAATTTTTGCAAGGTAGTGTGTGTATCTCAATAAAAACATATTGATGTGAAAATGTTTTTGGTGAGATTTTTGTATACGTATGTGTTAAATATTGTGTTATATGTTTTAATGTGAACCTCAAGAAGTGTAACTGTTGCCCTGGTGACAGCTAATCAGTATCTGACTCAAAAATAAAGAATACTGCACAAGGATATCTGACCAGATATTTAATGCCCACGAAGTCACAATCTCTGATTCTATGTACTGTATGCGCTATGGGGACATTTTGGTTGGCAGTCAAGAAGTAAAAACCAAGTATGTTTCACATTTTCACACATACTGAAAGTATGCAGGTGTATAATGACATAATGTGCTGACAGCTTTATGGTGTATTGATGAACAACCAGCATTTACCTTTCTCCAGTGCTTCTATCTGGTCCTGTGTGAAAGACGTTCTGTTTCTTTGCAATTTCCTCTTCAACTGAAGTCTCATTTGAGTCTCCTCTGAGGTTTCGCTGTTGGAACTCACTGTTATGGTGTTCTCTCCACCCTTT